AGAGTATCAGGATTTAGTAAATTTCCATCATCACCCTGGAATTCATATTCGGTAAACGGCATAACACAAAAGAATATGAATAATTCTTTCCATTCATTCGGATTGAAATTTCCTTTAAACCTTCGAAGGGCCTCATCGATATATGACTCTTTTTTAATATTGAAAAATTTAAACATCATTTCTGTATAAGTGACATTTTGATTCACACCTTTGTTGAAAATNTTCCTGTAGTCGAATTTGGTTATTTCAAAACTATCGATATCAATATCAACATCCATATTCACATCAGTAACAGTATCACTATCATCATCCATATCACCATCCTCACCACCTCTTAAAATATACCGTCTAATATTCTTAGCCAAAACATCCTTGCTCATTTTGATTAGTTTGAATATAATTCAAATTATATCCGTCCATTTTCTATCGGGGGGACTTGTTCAATTTATCGGAAACCAAACAAAGTTAGCATAAAAGAAATACTCGTTTCACAATGTTTTGTCTAGGGAATAATTGCAATTTTGTAAAGTGCGAACATCATACTATGGATGTTAATATATGTAGATCGCAAATAGACAAGTGCATATTAATAATGTAGGGTATGAAAAGATAAGATAATTGTTTAATACGATGAATTTATGATGTAAAATATATAAATTGACGAAATAGCATAGCAAATATCTTTGTAAGTGAAACAAGATGAAGAAGGTGATAATGATCGAATCTTCATGAAGGTCATATATCGTTTTCAGGGTATAGTATTTGGTTGAGGTTTACTCAAGACCATGCCAATAAGCTGGCCTATTCGTCATTACGCATATTCTAACTTGCATGGCTTGTACGACTATAGTAGACTATTTGATTAGTGTAAGGATGTTTTTTCCTATATTTGGAATCGAAAAATTTATATCTAAATAGTTTTATTGCGCTTCCATTCTCAATAATGCTAAGAACCTATCGACATACTCACTCAAAAACACTCTTGTTATTCCTAAAAATAGATTCCAATTCTGACAAATCCGTTATCTGATTCATAACATCAGTGGATTCATTTTCTAAAACGGAATCTGCAAAATCAATGATGAATATCTTGCCGTCTTTAGTGCAGAGAATGTTAGAATTCCGTATATCTCCATGAATGATTCCATTACGATGTATAATTTCCAATTGCTTCTTAGCCTTCAAATACGTTTATGAATCTCGTGGCATAGGAACGTTATCGATAAATTTGAACAAATTATATCTTCCCTGGGCTAGATAATACTTGTCAACGGTTACTTTGATGTATTTCCTTCTATGTGGCACGTAGCAACTATTAAATTCTGGATTATTGGCTAATACCTGGCAAAAAAGCCTTTCAGAATTGTAGTTATCGAGGCATTGTTCCAACACTTCTTTACGACTGGATATATATTTATCATGGACTCTGTTTGCCATTATAGGATCATATATTTTTGCGACCAATTTCTGCTTATCGTCCATTGGACAAAGCAATACTTTTTCATGTAATAAGAATCAAACTTAACGAGCTGCGAACTATAAACATTCCCTTTTTGCATATATACATGATCATCATCAAGATCTACTTGTTGTTCTTGTCTTATCTCTTCTTCTGCGACGGAAGCCAAATGTGCAGACATATCTGTATCTTTTATGCTTGGACGACTACCGACCGAGCTTTCAGTTGGGTCACTACTATACCCCATTGCCAGGAGTTCCTCTACATATTCTTCAGGCGTATTACGCAAATACCTTTTAAAAACTAACATTCTTCCCTGCCTAAGTTTCAAAAGCATTGTCATCAACAATAGCCTTAAAGAAAAAGTGCATTAGACATTCTCGTAATGTAGGTGCAGTAGATCGACAATTCAAAACTCTGTTTCTGAGTGTTATAACCTTGGCTCCTTCAGAGGGTACAAACTTTTGCCTATGTTCATCAAAATAATCAAGGTCGATTTCCACTAAAATTGCATCGTATGCATCTGTTAGAACTCCCATATTTGTCTTATAATATACCATCTGAACAATTAGTTGCCTCATAAGGGCAGGAAGTTTGTTTTGGTTCAAAATATCAGTTGTTATTCCTGTACTTTCGCTATCATAACTGGATAGTATTGGAAAATTCTTAACCTCTATTGCACAGAAGGCCTCATAGCCTCGAATCAATATATCAGACCAAACATTTTACATTACCTGGAGTACCAATAATATATTTTACCTCTGCATCTAATTCAAACGTTTTAACCAATAACGTGCATATAGGTTCCACCAAATACTCCTTGAGTTCCAGTCTGTAGGTAAGTTCTCTGTCGTTTCTTTGCCTAAGCAACCTATAATCGCGAAACGCAAAGTCTTGAAGGCCCTTAACTAACTTGTCGGTAGCTGATAATGTTATTATAGTATTAATTGTATTCAATATCTCGTCGTCACCAATTTTGGAAAAACAATCGCTATATATTTGAATTTGGAAAGAGTCTTGTCAAATATGTTGCATGATGGGGAGCCACTGCTAGTAGACAGACGAGTTCTTTGGATTTCATACTCAGCATGGGAAGTGACAATACGAAGCGCAAAATCTTCTTAGTGATTTGCTGATTGCAATGAAATATCCAGCTAACACAATCCAGATATCGCCTTTTAGGATCTCCTTCTAGAATGAATGGTTTTAGTTCATTTTCATCAACTTTAAATAACTCCCGGATGATTGTCCCATAATCTAATATAGGCCGATTCCACGTGGAGAAGAAATCTAGATATTTATAGGTGTCAGTAATTTTTCTGTCAATGCATCTTTCTGTCGCTTGATATAGTGGGTGCTGCAATAAAAGAGAACCAATACTAGTTGAAGAATTCATGATTAAAAATTCATGATAAATAAATAGACCTAGCCTATATTATTTAATTGATTGAAGGATATTTATACTTATTTTTGTTCAGCAACATCAGAAATGTGATATGCTACTCGTATCATAATTGTTTCGCTGGCACGGGCCGTAAAGATATCAATTAGATAAAATTGGAAGATAGTATTACCAAGCAAGTCGCATATGTCATTATATCTTATTTATAGCGGAATAACACCGTCAAAATTAGCGTCCCAAGTATTTGTTGCTCATTGTAAATCGGAAACTTGAAACACTTCAAAAAACATAATCTCAATACCCGTAAATAAATAAAGTGCCAATTTCCATCTTTGCCATTGACAGCAAAGCTAAAAAATTCCAGTTGTTCTAACCTAGAATGAATTTATGATACCCAATATGTGTATATGATTAGCGTACCAGTTTTGGGCTTATCATGAGTTTGTGTCATTATCAAGAAGTGAGATATCATTACTACTGACGATGGTGGATGGAGAATGATCCCATACGAGCTTGTATCATGTAGTTACCAGTAATTAAAAATATAGGACTATCGCAATTATTGATAAGAAAATTCACTCATAATATGCTGATGTATTAGTTACTATAATTTATCGTAGCTGGTAGATATTTTGGCCGTATTCACAGTCATCTTCCCAATAATACAGTTCTTCATGGACATACCAGAACCTGCATCATAAGATCATATTAGACTAGTACTAAATTATGTATTAGATAGAAATGAACGGAGTAATATACATAAAAAATAAAACATTATACGAACTCAATTTAGTACATTTTAAGCTCTAAACAGTTGCAATAGCTGTGAAAATAGGAAATTCTGCAATCAAAGTGGATTGTTGTATCCGAAACAAAATTTGAATGTAACACTATGGGTAATGGAAACAATCACTCTTTTGTAGTATCATTATTATTTCCTCCAAATAGACCCACCTTGTCGAAATTGATCATCTTGCCGTCTACTCTTTGTTTATTGGAGGTTATGATTGTATTGAAATCGGGAGTTTTCAAAAATGCTTTGCTCAAGTTATTGCTGTTTGAGTTCATGTTTGCACTTCCTGGTGATGGAGTGAAGAAATTGACGTAATCATTCATGTTGAATCCTGCAGGAGTCAACGTTAATCCAGAGGACGGCAAACCCCCATTATTGACCGATAGATTGTTGAAAAGGTTTACGGATGGGGTTAACCTGCTCTGAGGGGTCTTTGCAGACGCTGTGATATGACGTTTTGGGGTGAGTGGTGGTGGAGGAACAATGAATGATGATGGAGCCTTATGCGATACGCTCGAGCTTGGTGCAGATGCAGGTGGGTGTATATCATGGTGGTGGCTAGCCAGATGGAAATCTGCCTTGGAACGTGGCGTATTGGAAAGATATGGTTTTGCTGGCGATGGTGACGATGCCAAATACATCAAAAGATCCGCACCTTCTTCGTCCTGGCCGTCACCACTGGTGCTGGGTCTTGTCTGAGTGGGTGTCCGCAAAAGCACGTTTGGAGTGCCCACACTCGAGCGTCTTTTCTGCAAAGTGGGCGTCATTTGCTGCTTGGACGTCGTCAACGACGGTGATGGTTTCAACGTGGCCATATTCCTTGGTGGGGTCAGCGGCGGCTCATCCACTGCCTGCAAAATCATCTGCGGTTGGCGTTCTTCCCTATTGTCACTATCCCTGGGCCCTTTCTTCTTCGTGGGCGAATCCGCAAGCTCGCTCGTCTCACTGGCCCTTCTCTTCAATGGCGACGACGACAAATATACCGCCGCCAGACTCTTCATCTGTGTTGGAGACTTTCCGTCCGGCGAATACAAGTGTGTGGGTGACGATGATAAAATTCCTCCGTGTGGTGACGACTCAAAACTCTTATTATAATTTTTCAACGGACTCGACTTGGGCATCGCTCCCACGCGAACATTGGCCGGTGATAATGACTGTTTTGCCGCTATCGTCGCCTTCGAAAGCTTCTTTTTCAACTGCTTAGCAATCTTTTCCAATTCTTCCTTCTTTAGCGGAGTCTTGGGCTTCACCCCTGTACCAGCATTCGAATTCATCGAATTGTCGACATCAGCCGGTGAAGACGAATCGTTGGGTGACGACGCTGCAAATGTATTTCCAGTGTTATTATTTTCCCTAAGCATATGCATATCTCTTCCCTCAATCGTCTTTCAATATCTCTAGCTTATTCTAACTATTTGCACTAGAATGAACCCTTTCTCTATAAATAATACCCTTTCACGTCTTCTTCTCTTCTATACGCGTAGAGAAGGGATGGTATAGGACTGCATATAGACGTCATTTATCCGTTTTGGGAAGTCTAAGTGCAAATCGACCGATTGAGCGATCTTTGCGGTAAAAGTTGGCCATGAGGTCCCGAGTCAGGTGAATTTGGCGGTATGGATGCAAAACAGATGTAGGGATGTTTATTTTGGAGAGGTGGGGGATTATTTTTCAGGTCGCTCTGTCTACTTGCTTATCTCTTAATGGCTTTCTAGTGGTGTATTAGGTGTAAAAAAGACTAAATACGCTACAAATATATATATAAAGATACTGAGTAGACGCAATGGGGTATTTGGTGGTAATTGGAGTTATAGCATGTGTTGCTTACGGAATATTGCAGGTGGTTTCGACGGTATTACCACGGTTGTTGTTGGTTCCACCGCAGAATTGGCAGGATAAAATAAAGAAGGAAATAGAACAGCCAATGACGAGATATTTGAAGGTTGGGAAAAAGAGATCGAGTTTCAGGCGGCGGCTTGTGCTTGCAAGCAAACAGCCGTCGTTTTACACTAATTTTGTGAATAACAAGATCAAGGTGGCGCCGGTGGACCTGCGAAACGACGATGGAGAGTTTCTAGCCCAGATGACGAAGCGTGATGCGCGGGACCCACAGCGGAAGATGATCTATGGGTTTTTCCATCCGTATGCCAACAACGGTGGCGGTGGGGAAAGAGTGTTGTGGCAGGCGGTGCAGGCTACGTTGGCGACTAGCGACCGCAGTATTGTGGCCATATATACTACTAATTACGAAAGCGATCCTACACTGATCTTGGATAAAGTAGAGGCCAAGTTCCAGATTTCTCGTTTGGACGAGGACCGTATTGTATTTGTTTATTTGCGGAAATACGCCCGGTTGATCGATGGGGATTACTGGAAACGGTTCACGTTGATCGGGCAGTTATTTGGGTCGATGGTGTTGTCGTGGGAGGCCATGTTCGAATTGTCTCCCGATATATGGATTGATACCATTGGGTTACCGGGAAGTTACTTGTTGGTGAGCTTGGTGTTGAAGATTCCAATCATGAGCTATGTGCATTACCCTATCATCCAGCCAGAAATGTTCAACAAGTTGAAATTCCAGGGCTTATCGCAAATTCGGGTACCCAAATTAAGTGAGATCAAGACCGATGTATTTTCTATTGGAAAATTGATCTACTGGTCTGGCGTGTTTTACTTCTATAAATATTTGGGGTCTTTGGTGAATATCACGTTGGCAAATGGCTCTTGGACATTCAACCACATTTCCAACATCTGGACAATAAATAAAGATGAGGCCGGCTACGAGATGGACATTTTATATCCTCCGTGTGGCACTGAAACGCTAACGAAGAATGTAGAAACATTGGGATCAAGAGAAAATAAGTTATTATTTATCGCCCAGTTCAGGCCTGAAAAGCGTCATTCGTTAATATTGCGCCAATACTCAAAGTTTTTAGCCAATGCAACTAGTTTGGGCACTCCTTTAAAGAACATACCCACATTGGTTTTCCTTGGCTCCTGCCGTACGCCAGATGATACTAAAACGCTTCATGACTTGAAACAAGAAGTTGACGATTTGAAACTAAATGGCTATGTCGAATTTGTGGTGGATTGTTCCTATGAGGATATAATGGTATGGCTATCAAGGGTGAAATTTGGTCTCAATGCAATGTGGAATGAACATTTTGGTATTGGAGTAGTCGAATATATGAGTCGTGGCGTTATTCCATTATGTCACGCATCGGCCGGACCATTATTAGATATAGTAACTAACTGGAACGATGAACCAACGACTGTTTCGTGGTACAACAATACAGGATTTTTCTTCAAAGACAAGTCTGATCCCGACTTCGATTTGAGCTTGCAATCAGATACCACCCTGGAATTCCTACAATTTTCCAGCCGCGATAACAAGGACTCTATCAGTACATATCCAACACTTGCCAAGCTACTTGATGAGTTATTCGTAACAAACCTGGACTTGATTTCGGAAACTAGATTGCAATCAATGAGAGAGAATGGTGTAAAATCTGTTTTAGAGAAATTTTCTAATGCAGTTTTTACCTTAAAGTGGATGCAATACTCTAATCAGTTAGGTGAATTAGAAAGGTCATATCGAGAGGAAAGAAGAAGTGGTATTGAAAAAGTGTATTAACTTCATCTTTAAGCTCTATAATCATAGGTTAAATAGTTTATCATTTAATATACTTCAAATAATGAAAAGTAGTGTGAGAACCAAAATACGACTTGATCTCGTCAGCGTGTTCACTTCATACAACAAAGGCTACCTAAACAAACATTAATCTAATAAATCTAATTCTCTAGAGTTGGAATTGCTCTATATTAAATATATATTTGTGAAATACTAGTCCAATCCAGGCCGTGAGAATGAAATTGGACGTCGTAAAACAATTTTCTACTCGTTCCGATAGAGTCAAAGGAATAGATTTCCATCCTTCAGAGCCATGGATTTTAACTACCTTATATAATGGTAAAATTGAAATTTGGTCATATGCAACACATTCATTGGTTAAATCTATTCAAGTGACTGAACTTCCTGTCCGTACTGGTAAGTTCGTGGCACGTAAGAATTGGATTATTGTTGGATCTGATGATTTCCAAATCAGGGTGTATAATTACAACACTGGTGAAAAAGTGACACAATTCGAAGCACACCCGGACTATATCAGAAGCATTTCTGTACATCCATCGAAACCATACGTTTTGACATCTTCGGATGATTTAACTATCAAATTATGGAACTGGGAGAATTCATGGAAATTAGAACAAATTTTCGAAGGCCACCAACATTATGTTATGAGTGTTAACTTCAACCCTAAGGATCCTAATACCTTTGCGTCCGCATGTTTGGATAGAACCGTTAAAATTTGGTCATTAGGTTCGCCTCAACCAAATTTCACCTTAATGGCTCACGAATCAAAGGGTGTAAATTATGTCGATTACTATCCCCAAGCCGATAAGCCATACTTAATAACTACATCTGATGATAAAACGATCAAGATTTGGGATTATCAAACCAAATCATGTGTTGCTACTTTAGAGGGACATTTATCAAACGTTTCGTTTGCTATTTTCCACCCTGAATTACCATTGATTGTTTCAGGTTCGGAAGATGGTACTGTTAAGTTTTGGAACTCAAATACTTTCAAGTTAGAGAAATCGATTAACTACGGCTTAGAAAGAGTATGGTGTATTGGTATCTTACCAAAGTCTAATGTTATAGCTGTAGGTTGTGACTCAGGTTATGTCATTATAAAGTTGGGTAACGAAGAGCCATTATTTTCGATGGATTCTAATAACAAATTGATATACGCTAAGAACTCAGAAATCTACCAATCAATTATTAAACCAAATTCAACAGAAGGCTTGAAGGATGGTGAATCATTGCCGTTACAACAAAGAGAATTAGGGTCTATTGAAATTTATCCTCAATCCTTAACCCATTCACCAAATGGGAGATATGCGACTGTGTGTGGTGATGGTGAGTATATCATCTATACTGCTTTAGCGTGGAGATCCAAAACTTATGGTAAAGCCTTAGACTTCTGCTGGAACTCTCATGACTTATCAAATGCGTGTACGTTTGCTATCAGAGAATCACAATTATCTGTTAAAATCTTTAAGAATTTTGATGAATACTTACAAATTGATTTGATCTATCAAGCTGATAAAATTTTTGCCGGTGCCTTATTAGGTATCAAGCTGGAAGGCTGTATATCATTCTACGATTGGGAACATGGTAAATTGGTTAGAAGGGTTGATTTAGATGATGATATTCAGGAAGTTGTCTGGTCCGATAACGGAGAACTTTTTGCGATTGTCACTTCATCAAATGTTGGCGAAAACAAGGCAGCAATTGGTTCCAAGACTGGTGATGAGACATACTTCTTAAGTTATGATCATGCTCTCTTTGAAGAGGCATTGAGTAACGATGAACTCGATCCAGAAGAAGGTGCTGAATCGGCCTTTAATGTGTTATACACTTTACCAACTTCTGAGTCTATCTTATCAGGTAAGTTTATTGGTGATGTTTTTGTATATACTACAGCTACAAGTAATAGATTGAATTATTTTGTTGGTGGTGAAGTGATTAACTTAGGTCACTTTGATCATAAGTATTATATTGTTGGATATAGAGCTAATCAAGAAGGAAAATTATATTTGATTGATAAGTCATTCAATGTTGTTTCTTGGTTTGTCAATTCTGATGTTTTAGAACTTCAAACTTTGGTAATGCGTGGTGACTTAGAACAATTCGCAACAGAAAATGTTTTAGATGAAGAATCGGGTGAGAATGTACCAGACTTGTCTAGTATTACTAAAGAAAACTTGTCAGACGAATATTCAAATATTTTATCTGGCTTCAGCAAAACTGAATTAAATCAATTGTCAAGATTCTTTGAAAAATTAGGGTACTTAGCATTGTCATATTCCTTATCACAAGATTTTGATTCTAAATTCCAAATATCGCTCTCCACAAATAATTTACTGCAAGCTTATGAGTTATTATCAACGTACCAGAAGGAAAATCCATCTACGAGCTTGGCCAATGCATCTAAATGGAAGAAATTGGGTGATTCAGCATTATCTAAATGGCAAATAAAGTTAGCTCAAGACTGTTTTTGGCTAGCTAAGGACCATGCTTCCTTGTTATTATTATTATCTTCTTCTAATAATCAAAAAGAATTAGTTAAATTGGCAGAAGAATGTGAAACAATGGGTAAATATAACATAGCTTTGCAAACATGGTGGATAACCGGAAACAAAGAGAAGTGTTTAGAATTATTAATAAAGAGTGAACGATTAACAGAGGCTGCATTCTTTGGGGTGAATTATTCTGCTGATAAAGAAAAGGTCAACGAATCGATTAAATTATGGAAGCAAAAGTTAGAATCTAAGAATAAGACGAAAGTAAGTGAAAGGTTAATTGACAATTTTGAAGGGTTGAGCGTCACTGAGGCCACTGCACCTGCGCCTGCGCCTGAGCCAGTCGACAGCCTTATTGACCTCGAAGATACTGGTGCTAAGAACGAAGAAGTTGATGCGATTGTTGATACTGCGGAAAAGGAAGTTCAAGAAGAAGCTACTGCAGATGACGTCGAAACTAACAATGAAGAAGTTGAAGAGGTTGAAGAGGATGCTTAATTAAAACCACTTCGCTCTAAAATTTTTGTTCCATAGTTTTTTATAAATATTTGATTCATCATTAATCTTATTGTAAGACGTTAGATATTATTTGTATACGATTACTAGTTATTAGGTAACTTGTATTGAAGCGAATGCAATATACTTATTATACGTATCTATTTAATCTATAATATATTCCTTAAATCATAAATACCTGCTTTTTATCACACACATCATCAATTTTATCCAAACAGACATAGAACCTGTCTTGTGGTACATAATTTTGTTCGTCAAATACGCTATTTCTATTCCATTTGTAGACATGACTAAAAACCTTGTCAAGTCTACTATGTAAGAGAGCAATTTCCGCATCATCAGGATCAACCTTTGCAAGTCTTAGTACTAGGGTCCCCCCTTTCTTTAACACATCACAGGCTAAAATCAATGCTGCATCCGCTGAGTCTATCGCAGCCTTCTCTTCATCCGTTATGGTCCTGCTTAGTATTGGATTACCCGCTGTTCGCAAATAAGGCTTTGTATTCGTATTGTTAAAAAATCCTTTTTCTTGCATGAATGGGGCAGACAAATCGGAAAGAATCAAGTCAGGTTTATAGTCAATTTCCTTATCCTTATCGTTCTTTGTGACAGTCAACTTATCAAAATCTTCCGATAAGTCACTCACCTGTTGTTCAATCAATGATTCACTTTGTTCTTTGAAATAGTACGATTGTTGAAACTCATCCATTCCGTCGTCATTCATATTTTTTGGCTCAACTGTCTTCCGCAACGCAATATCTTTAAAATGCATCAATATAAGATCGTGGGCCGACTTAGAGAAGATATTACCTTGCATGGAGGAAACGCCTAACGGCGGGGTACCAAATAGGATGTCAAACCCTAATATATGGCACTTCTCATGAAATTTATCCTCGTCAACCCCATGTACCTGACATAGTCTATAACGGGCAAATTCACTCCAGTTTCCCGGCACAAACCCCAAATCTAGCACTTTCGTTACACCTGCATTGAAAATCCCAAACTCATTATCAACGTCCTGAAGCTTGCTTCGATTACGCATATTCGCCCGATCAATGCGCTCCTGTCTCGACGGCTTCGTTTTCGAATTGGAACCTACTACCTTCGCCTTCCACTGTTCGTGTTCCAACTTGACGTTCCTGGCAAGAGGCTTGACACCACTACCACAAAATTGCCGCACGCCCACAAAAAGCTTCCTATTATATATACCTGTTGAATAGGTACCCCAAGATAGCAATTTTCGTACCAGCATCATCCTACCACTGCTCATAGATAACATAGACGTATAATCAATGATTTATTTAACAAATACTCCATATCCATATTGCGACATTTCGATTAGAATGTCGTAATAAAATGCGACATCTGATTATATGTCCCGCCCTATTAATTCAATACTTTCACGTGTGATAGAATAAAACAGTCACGACATGAGGCCGAGATGGCTCAAGTTTTGTGTAATCAAAATTTTTCACAATTAGTACCGAGTACGATGGTATATTTCGTTCGTACATCCTCTTCCATAGTCTGGTGATTTTTGGAACTTTATCCTCGTCGAATCAGTTATATTTACCAATACCTTTTGGGAGACGAATTAATTAGTTGATAATGTCTAAGATTTCATCTGCTTCCGTTCGTGAACACGTTCAAAAATTGTTGGAATTCTCCAACGAAACTAAGAAGAGAAACTTCTTAGAAACCGTTGAATTACAAGTTGGTTTAAAGAACTACGATCCTCAAAGAGATAAGCGTTTCTCTGGTACTTTGAAATTACCTCAAGTTCCAAGACCAAACATGACCATCTGTATTTTTGGTGATGCTTTTGATGTCGACAGAGCTAAGTCTTGTGGTGTTGATGCTATGTCCGTCGATGACTTGAAGAAATTGAACAAGAACAAGAAGTTAATTAAGAAGTTGACCAAGAAGTACAACTCTTTCATTGCTTCCGAAGTCTTGATTAAGCAAGTTCCAAGATTGTTAGGTCCTCAATTATCTAAGGCTGGTAAGTTCCCAACTCCAGTTTCCCACAACGATGATTTATACTCTAAGGTCACCGATGTCAAGTCTACCATCAAGTTCCAATTGAAGAAGGTTTTATGTTTAGCCGTCGCTATTGGTAACGTTGAAATGGACCAAGATATCTTAGTTAACCAAATTATGATGTCTGCTAACTTCTTAGTTTCTTTATTAAAGAAGAACTGGCAAAATGTTGGTTCCTTAGTTATCAAGTCTACTATGGGTCCATCTTTCAGAATTTACTAAGCAATTTAGTTTGTTTAGAGTTCACATACAAAATTAGTTATGTTTTATGTAAATAATAAAATATTTAATTGATTTAATTATAAGTGTAGAAGGTGATAATGCTTTATAAAACCGACTACACGATTACGAATGTAGATATCATGAAAACTGTGCATTAATTGAATAATATATATTAGTATCCTACCACTCTTGTCTTCTTGTCAGCCTTTTTATTCTTCTTCCCGTGTTTCTTGTTCTTAGTATTGCCATTATCGTTAGCAGCGTGGAAAGGTTTGCTAAGCTTTCCTTGAACGTTGTTCATCTTAAAGAATTCACGATCTAAATCATCACCAGCACTTTCCAAAGAAGCTTGCTTACCACCGTAGAAAACGGTACTTGCTCCGGAGTTCTTTTTGGTATTCTCTGAATCAATTGTATCTGATGATGACTTATCACCTATATGCATCGAAAAATTTAAGCCTGCTAATCCTTTTGATAAGTCAAAATCTTCTGCATTGACATTCTTGGAAGACAATGCACTTAATATTTGGTGTTGTCTTGATTCTGGTAACGTACGTAAAGAATATAATTCCTTGTTTAACTCTCTAGCTTCTTCGATGCTTGGTAAATCCCACTCATCATCGTTTACCTTTCTTGGTGGTGGACTTACAAACAATAATTTTCCACTAACATAATCTTTCAAGATATATCTACTTGCCCTGGACTCATCTGCACTACCAAAACCTTGCGTCATAAATCCTCTGGCTCTGGCATACGCATTTAATAACTCTCTTGCACTTGCATATACACCATTACCACCATCTTCAACCTTCTGAATTGGGATATGAATACCATAAAATGCTTCAAGGTAGAACTTAGGGATTCTGTGACAGACGATAGAAACCGGTGGGATATGCTCTCTTAATTGATCAATTGGCAATACACCATTACAAACTAATTCTCCGTTAGTGTAAGCAAAGTTTGGGAAAACTAAACCTGGGCAATCACACAACAATACCTCTGGGGATAAATGTATAGTCTGGAAATGCTTAGTCTTACCTGGAGTAGCTGAAACTGACACTTTTTTAGAACCAACTAATGCATTGATAGTAGACGACTTACCAACGTTTGGATAACCGACTAAACCGATTTGAAGTTTACGATCTGGGAAGTCTTCTGATATTTCGAATGATGGAGACGAAGTCAAGAAAAGGTTCTCTAATTCATTAATCGTCAAGATCCTTATTTTAGAATCAACTTCTTCTGGCGCATCTTCCACCTTTCTTTCAGGCGTATAATTAGGATCTCTCTGCAATTCTTCTAAATTCTCTTGCTCTTCTTCTAATAACTCATTAGCTTTAGAAGCAGAGAAAAACACATAATTAATATTCTGTGAAATAAAATAATCAGACCACTGAATTCTTTGCTCTCTTGTTAATAAATCCGCTTTGTTGACTAACAATAAGTTCTTCTTGGCTGCATTATCATTAGGTTTACTTAATTCCTCAACGTATTTTTCAAGATCAATAGATCTGAATAACAATGGATTTCTGGCATCTACAATCTGAACAATTAAATCACATCTTTCAACAACTCTCCACAATTGTCTCCAAACTTCAATATTTCTTTCGAATGGTGTTAATAATAAATCATTATTTTCAGTAAGTGACGCCAATTCACGCCTCCATTGCAAGAAGGCTAAGTTTTCCTGTCTTTCAATTTCTAACTTCAGTTGATTCTTATTCCACTTTGGTCTTCTTGGAACTGTCAACTTATTCTCAAAGATTTTATGCTTTCTACGTAATTCCAACGTTTCTTCTTGGGTTAATAAACCATTTTGATTAACAATAGAAGTGTTCCCGACTTTAATGATTTTGACTTGCTGATTCTTTTCTGCTGTGAAATCTGTGTCAGCTAACTCAGCAGTATTTAAAAATTCATCTAAAGCATTTTCTTGTGTCACAGATCTCAACTTCACCCAATCAGCTTCCCTCTTATCAGTTGTGAATCTCATTTCACCATCTGGCAAGAAAGAGATCTTATTCTCTGCCCTCTTTTGGTTTGCAATTGTCCTACCCAATCCAATAGTGTTTTTATTTTTATGCAGAATTGGCTTTGGACCCTTTGGAATCTTCCATTTCTTTGGTTCTGGGTGCAACGCACCTTTATTACCTCCAATATCACTCATATTACTATTATTTGTTGTAATAAATCTAAGATATAAAGAGCTATAGCGGTAGGCAAAAGGGAAGCTCCATCGATTTATAAGGTAAGAAAAAAATCTCGATGGGATTTAATCACGTGAGATATTTCTATGGCAATTTTGTGTCATTATCAAAAAAGGGTGCAAATTGGGTATAGATAGAAAGATACGGCCCTGTCGAACCATGATATTCATTAAGTATCTGGCATAATGTTGCTAAAATGCCATAAGGTCTTCAGGATCTTATTTTAGGAGATATCTGAATTTTACCTACTTTAGATTTGTTAAACGAAGCCATATTTAAAGGTAGAAGTATGCTTCGACTTTATTCATAAGTAGGTTGAGCCAATAATTATTGACGAGGACTAACTCTAAGAGAAATACTGTCACTGATATGTGACGTCACACAATATCTGAGACAAACAACATACTAATATAAGATGAGAAAAATCAATATAATATAGCTGTGATGAGGAATGTAATATAATAATGATCATAGTGATAACATAAAAAAATGCTTATGCTTATTACAGTTAGTCATACATGACTATTCATGGAGGGAATAGAGGTAATATAATCACTCTCATCACACTGTGCTTATAGAGTAAAGTTCAAGGTTGGGTAAGAGAACCAGAGATTATAATCGGAAATGGATGGAGGAGACCTCGTACATATTACGTATGCCTGCGCAAAAGCAAAGAGAAAAGTTAATGCTCTCCTACGTGAAGAAGATATACTCGTATCAATTCAATCCTTTAAAGAGGAACTTATCAAAAAGTAGTAGCAAGCATTTTGTATATTTTAAGGTATTTGCCCGATCTATATTGTTTTCCTCATAATTGAAGACTAGTACAAATACAAATCAAGATCGACGGCCATGCGTCTACAGAACAATACTTACATTACATTTATTAGACTATATGATAAAACAACGTCCAAGTAGGTACACGCTCAAATGTATTGAGATAACCATTTGAAACCATCTCCGTAACCCATTCTCATAACGACCGAAACCATGAAAACTTCGATAGGTCTTTGACCCTCAGGTAATTTACCTGTGTCCTTACCCGTGGTGTTATATAATCCTAACGCAGACTTCAATTCCATTTCACCGACAGCAGAAGAGGCATCAATCTTGTTACCTAAAATCAAGAATGGAACGCTGGCCAACTCCTCAATCTTGAATAACGATTCCAATTCAGCCTTCGATTCTGCAAATCTTTCTGGATCAGCAGCATCGACCAAGAAAACAATCCCGTTCACTTCTGGGAAGTAATCTTTCCATAAACGACGGGCTTGTTGATGCCCACCCAAGTCGAACGTAGTAAATCTAACTGATCCAATAGCTAATTCCTCAGATGTAGGATGCAAAGTAGGCTGTAATGTAGCCAATCTGTCATTTTTCAACATGTGTAATAATGTAGTCTTACCGGCATTATCTAAACCTAAGAACAACAATTTGGCATGTTTGTTCCATAACCCTAATGATGCTAAAACATCTTGAACTATGCTCGTGTTAATATAATCTATTACAAATACATCTTATATCATCTATCACAATAATACATACACCAATCGAATAACCACATTGAAGCAAAATAGTATATAACTTTATATAGTATAAATCAGTACGTAATTAAGCTTGTTGGCTTCAGCTTATTATCGAAAACGAATCAGAACGGGCAAAGTTACACAAACTCGTCCAATTCGCACCAACTAAATTTTCATCAGTAGTGGGTCTCAGCCGACTTGTGACCCTTGCACCACGAAAACAGGATTAACCGACCAAATATCCTCCTGAGAATGCAACAGCAATAAAGAACTCTGAGTTCTGCGTCCACCAGAGGCACCGCTGCTACGGTTACCATCCTTCGAACCACTGATTCTATCCTGTGTCTACAACATGGCGCATACAGACACATTGTGGAAGGAATCACTCGCAGCTTGCAGGGTGCAATTAGTGGGCTAGTATAACTAAATGCTAGGGGAGACCGCCTGGGGGCGGTCTCCATACGGCCCTTAGAAAAAATTCGTTAGGCGCGCATTCACTACAACAAATCGCTAATGATCGACTCTAGTGACCAAACGCCCACTAAATACCTTGCTGCGACAGTACCCGCATAAGCATATTTATCGGAGATCTACCCACCTATATCTAGAACAACACTACCAGCTTCAAACTGCTATCAAAACTCATCATCATGGACTAGTACTACTATAGACATTTAATTCGTCTTTGACCCAGCGATGTGGTATTCATGGTAACTTATTGTTATTTCTCCGCCCAGTAGGCCCGGGTGTTTAATTACACGATACATCGCGCTTCCTTCTTTACCTACAAGCTACACGTTCATCTGGGTCTAGATGCAGAAATGTAAACAAATGATTGTTAACGTGGTCAACGAGATCTAAATAGATAGTCTGCATCCATTTGTAGACACAATTTGTCCCATTACTATAAAAACTGTGAGTGTACAGCCACCTCCTTAGCTAATCTTCTATTGTTCTTCTTGGTACATTCAATGTAACAGCCTTGCACCAATAAGCATAAATGTGTATAAGGTTGGAAGCGAGAACACCATGACTACGTAACCAAGAATGCCTGGGGAAGTGACTTCTATATTTTTAGATGTCAATATATAAAACCACGAATATCCCCGGTTAGGTAATAGTTCGCTTCAAGAATTTGATCGTTCAGAATATTAACAAGTTCAAAGAAAATTTGTATTTATTAATCTTGATATACAATACAACTAACAATGAAAGATAACAAACAAAATATTGAACCACAAAGAACACCATCGGTGCTGTTTGCACCCACGGTGGACACTACGAATGCTCCATTCAAGCCATCCATGACAAGAGCAAGATCTACAAGTCATACAATTCCTATTTCTACCGATAATAAGAGAAATCATTCTGCGTCGATATCTTCGGTATGTTCTACCGAGTCCGCGAACGACGATCATTTGAACAAATTGATCGATAACGACTCTCGCACCGCCACAAATACCAACCGTGATGCCTACAAGGGTAAAATCAAGCTCATGGATGACGTGGACTTAGAGAAGCAGATAATTATGACTGCTGGGGGGAAAAGAGAATATGTGATGGGTTTTGTGTGTAAATTACTATTCTTAATGATAATTGTATTCGGATGCGGAGTATTGGTGTTCTACGCACTTTAGTGCCCTCGTATAAGTCGTTTATAATTTTGTTGAGACGATAAATTTGATAGAAAAATCGTCAAATCGTCAAGCAACATCCTGTTGTTAGCACTGGTACGTGAACCGTTACCACAACAAGTCTGGAGATGTCGGCCGGACTGTTCATTTCTGAAGGTACCTGAAGGTACAGGTTTATAGAGGGGTTTTAGTATAGAATATAAACGGGCATATATTGCAATATCCTCATGTAGAGTAATGAATCGGCATGATTGGGGTTGATTTGGGGTCACACATAATGATCCAGTAGCAATGGAGATTAACCAAGTGGGGAGTGAAGTCATCTAGATACTATCTGCAATGATACAAGCGCAACGGTCATTCGGATATGTTTCTGTTTCGGTAGACTTTACATCCAGACCCATCAGGCTAGTTCTGTCTATGTCCCAGGCATTCTTACTAGAGGTCTGGGTCATAATGTTTACTCACGTGATTGCAGCTTCATTGAAATCGGACCTAATTAGTGGTTTATTTAGCCTTAAGAAGTGTACGTATGATAAGGACAATGATTACAAGAAAACAGATAGAGATTTGTAGTAGACGTATTTGGCTTAGAAGATATTCAAAGGTCCCTAAGACCGAAACAGAGGAAGAAAAGAATGCACCAGAGCAGAAGGATGATGAGAACTCTGCCCTAGTCCAACGGTTCAGTCAAATATTGGAGAGTAAACTCTCGGAAACATCACCATCATTTATCAGCAAGGATCCCCAATTGACAAAACTATATAATAAGTATTCTTCTGATCCTGATAAGCAATTTAAGGCCACATACCAGAAGGAACTATCGCATTTGAAAAATGAATCACTACTCAACCGCAATAGGCATGCAAAAGATATCGCGGATACAGTGACCAACAAGCCTTGGGATGGAACGGAATCAGTTCACGATGTTAATTTACGGATGCTACTTGATCTGAAGCCGCCTCCAATCAAGTACAAGAAAACTATTATCACTCCACCAATGAGTTTTAAAGATAGGATTGAAAATGCCAAAGAATCTAGTTTGGACTATAAAATTGGCAATACTAAAAAAGAAGAAGATAAATTTAGAGAGCTCTATAAGGAGAAGTTATTAGGTCCTTCTGTTTTTCTTAATTCTTCTTCGCCTCATACATTAATTGGAATGGCGAATACATTGGCGGATGCGAAGATAAATGCTAGCATCAATCACGATACGGGCCAATTTCATGATACTAGCGACATGTCTAGCGTAAGAGGCAAGCCTTTGGATAGAGAACATTTGAGAAACTGTACTGACTCGAATTATTTCATGAATCATATATTACAAAAGCAAGAGATTTTACATCCTTGGATAGACAGCCAACAGAGCATAGATCGTCAAACTATTGATTTCCGAAAAAATATGGATGGTGAATGGTTTAAAGCATTATTTTATAATTTAAAACCCACGTCCGTATCTCGAGATAGAGTATTGGATAAAATAGATAAAATCAGTGGAAATCCATCAAACTACTATGATAACGAATTTCATTCTCGTCAATTACCCTATGTTGTCGAGAAGACTAAATCATTAAATAACTTGATAAGGGATTACAATTTGCAATCTCCTTCTTCTAGTATCCACAAATTTAAATTGAGGCCTGAAGTAGAGTTAGGTAAACTGTATGATAGAACAGTTTCAACGTTACGTGCTCAAGCTTTGGCATGGTACGAAAATGAAGAAGCTGCAAAAGATAGACAATCAAATCTAAAGAACTATAAAAGTGAAAGTATGTTTGGATTGTTTGATAATGGTGGGGGTGGTGGTAGCAGCAATTCTGCAGATGGCACTGGTGCAAGACAAAGAGTACCTGAGAAGTTGCATCTTTGGAGATCGATTAAAGAAATGTTTAAATAGCGATCTGTATCATTTTTATTTTATTTATATAATCTCACCAAATAATAACTAATAAGAACAAACAACAATTCAATTCTCCACATTTTTAAGATACCATATAAAATCCCCTTCTCTTCATCTTTTGAATTACTTTGAATCAAATTTTGCATAAATGCCTCGCTCATCTGTTGTCTCAGAAATAATTCATGAACTCTGGTCAACCCATTTTCACCCAATTTCAGTTTTGTAGCTTCGTCCAATTCAGTATAAAATGTGTGCATTGTTTTTGACCACAATGCATCATTTGGTTCTTGAGAATAGCCAGTTGCTGTTGCTATATTATCATAATTAAAATGAACAATCGACTCTAATGGACCACCATTATTAGCCGATAACACGGGAGTTTTAAATAACATACTTTCAACAGGAACAATTCCAAAATGTTCGAAAGAAGGCGTATATAATAATAATTCAGCATTTTTAATTAAAGATTTCTTCAATGATGTCTTGATTGATGGTAAGAATAATATGTCAGTAGCAGGTGGTATTATAAGCAATTTGCCACGAATAGTGAAACATTTCAAATTCAACAGTTCAGATAATCCATTCAACTCTTGCAAATATTCCACGTTTTCAAGAACCCTTGGATCAAATCCACCTGCGACCACCAATCTCGGTTTTATTTTATTATTTTCCGAAATATTTTTGGGTAATTGTGCCTTAAACTTAGCAAATGATTTAATAGCTAAATCAATATTCTTCTTTCGTTCAAATCGATTAATTGAAAGGAAAAAATCACCATCCTTAAAAAATTCATTCACCTCTTTATCCATTAACTTGTCCTCTTCAGCGTCAGTCGCTGAATTAAGGTCAACACATGGATAAATAACGCCCGGTTCTATATTTTTTAATCCCTTAAATGTTTTGTGGAAAATGCCTTTGGTAAATTTGGAATTAACCACTATTTGGTCGCTTATTCCTGTAGACCATTCCTCGATTAGATCAAAAGGAATTCTATAGAATCTCTTAAGAAATCCTCCTTTTAATGCTAATAGCTGATCTGGGAAATGACAGTAGAATAAAATTTTACAATCAGGTCTACTGAAACAGCATAATAATGGAATACAAAAAGATAGTTGGTCAACTATGAAATAGTCGTATTGTTTTATTTTGCCAGTAAAGATTAATGCAAGCACCAAATAAAATTGTCTGATTATGGCAAATAAAATGTGGAACCTCTTCAAAACACTACTTGGAAAGAAGTCACCATAGACCTCTACGTTTAATAAGTTGGAACTAACTTCCTCAAAGCAATGCTTCCTATCGCAATGAGACGTGTAAATTGTGAC